TTTTTTTTTTTTTTTTTTTTTTAACTAACTCTATGGCCTGGTTAAGCTCTGCTCACCAAGACAAATGTTTGAGCAAATATGAAGAGTAACTAGCATACAACAACCCACTCTGCTTTGAGGAGCAGCTTGATGTCTGTGTTTGTATTTCAGCAGCATGCTTATCAAAATGTGCTGTTTAAAAGAAAACAAAGTTATTTTGCCCCCAACTGCCAGCCCCGCAATTGTAACCTGGCACCAAGCTGAGTTTTATTTTATTTTTTTAAACACCACCAGCATAGAAGATGCTGCAGGGCAAAGCAGGCTCTCAGTAATGCATGCCATTTAGGTGACTAATGGGCTGATGCAGGTGTCAAGGACAGCATATTTTGGATTACTTTATCTTTACTGTTGGTTATTGTTCATGGTAAAGAAAGAAATCAGCTTGACTTTCAGAGGCCAGAGAAGCAAGGAAGGAAGGAAGCAAGCACTGCAGGGAAAGAAGTTGCAGAAAGCTAGTTTCTTCCAAACTGAAGAAATGTAATATTCAGAATGACAGTGAACGTGGATCCTCACTATATTTAAAGCTCAACCTTGTGTCAGCAAAAAACCCCCAACAACTTAATGGAGTACGATGCAGAAGTAGAAACACTTCATTAGGCAACACTGCAAGGATTTCTGGAATTCATACCTGAGTTATTTTACTTTGCACTGAAGACACGATTGCAGAAGAGATCTGGCCATCTTTTTCCTGAGAAACTCCCCTAAAGACAAAAACACAAGAATTAGAAGTTTACCCAATGCATTTTTTTAATCTAGCTCAAGAGATTGTTTTATTTCCTTTGGTGTACCAGCCTCACCGCACTTGCAGTGCAGACATGCCCTCAACTCCAGGCAGATCTTTAAGCTAAAAGGGCTTTAAGCACTGTCTCATGTAGCTCAGACCAATGCTATAATGGGACTAGGGTAATGCAATCAGTAATGAAGCAGACTCAGCTGAGGGAAAAAAGTATAAAAAAAAAAAACCAATGCATACAAAGTTCTTATTTTGGCAATTTTGACCAAATTTTCCACTGTCGTAGCCAGGTTTTGGAAGGATCCATTGTACTACTGTTGCTTAAGGTGTTATTGAGAACCATTCCGGAAGGAGAACACAATCCCTGGGTTTCCTTCACATTAATCTCTCAAATTCAACAGTTTTTTTTCCTCTGGACAATCTTCTGTAACTTGTCTTTTGATCGGAACATTAAGTTCGGCTATAAAAACATTTTCAGCTGTTATTATTTGACCCAAAGAACACCAGTGAGCTCTCCAATAATCTCAGGTCACCAGCACAAATGGTTTCCACCTTTGTACACAGTCCTATCTTGCCCTGAGTATTTTTCATTATAAATCCCTGTTCGAAACACACATTCATGGTCAAAAGCTGTCAGGACTTTCAAATGACACAGTGAGAGAGAAAGTTACCTGGAGCGTTCCTGGCTGGATTCCCTACTCTCCACAGGAGAGATGCTAGTTGAATGTATGGAGTTTTTGTGTGTCGACTGTTTGCTTGGTGACATGGACGGCGAGTGAGATCTAGCTTTGGACTTAGTACGTGATCTAGACCGCCTCTTCTTCTTCTTTTCATGGGGACTTCTGAAAAAAAAAGTTTATTGGAGATGATTAAAGTGTTTCAAGTTTGTTTTTTAATCAGCTAAGTAGGAGCAATGTTAGACATTTCTAAAGGATTTTCAAGCCCCCTTTAACATACTTGTTCAAAGTCTTCTGCATGATGAGTAAGTGTGCTTTAACAACCATGCACTAAATCACTGTTTGCATGATAGTGTGGAGAAAAGCATCCCCAAAGCAGACCTTCCTATGTATGGACACTTGTAAATTATGCAATTTTCACATTTCAATCTGAGAAATGGGTACAAAGATTACTAGCTCCTTGCTTTATGTCAGAAGAATACTGGAATTCAGAGACTGGCCAATACTCAATACTTTGAAAGAAGGGGCAAAAAACCTTCCTGTTTACAGTGACACAATAACCTGACCATGGGGGGTTTTCATCCCCCCCTCTTTTTAAGTCATCAGCTTTATCATCAGATGCACAAGGATTTATATTCACAATTCTCACCAATAAGCCAATGCCTAGGGGTTACTTTTTAAACAAATTATTTCTGCAACCAAAACTCTGGACTGACGATCTTAAAAAATTACAACCAAGTTCCTGCATAATATTCACACAATCCTATCCAAAGCAGCATGCCTCAGACTGCTGGGGGCAGATAGGGCCACTTTATATATGCACAATATATACAAGTTATATAAGATACAAGAACAGGAGCTTAAAGGACATATAAAATTATTTTTATTGTTGATGAAACAAGGGGCCAACAAAAGTATTCTGAAACGATATCTAGCATTCAACTGGAGTGCATGAATTCTAGTAGTAACACTGCAGACCGAGTTGTGGAGATCCTTATATATGGTTATAAACTTAGTAAATCACAAGTAAGTAAAAGTGAAGTTGCTCTAATTAGGATTACTGAATCACTTTCATGCAATAATTCAATGTGTTCAGGTCCCTGCAGCCTGCTGGGTCTTTTTTCTATTTTTAAACCTTACAGCAAAGCAAATTTACTCTACGCTTTTAACAGTTACAGTCTACTGGCTGAAGGTAGGATTTTTGGACGCTGCTTTGTTGCAGAGTGTATCCAGACTGGTGATGACTAACACTGGGCTACTAAACAGAAACTTTCATGGAAAATGAAGTAAGAAGCTAACAAAATTCTTTTTTCTTGCTCATTTACAATGGGCAGTTATTAGCAGCCAAAGGTCAATTTAGGAGTCAGCAAAATAAATTCTTCTTATACAAAGTCTTTTGTCTGTATAGTATTTAACTCATTAAATAAAAGTAAATTCACAATACTGCAAAACATAGGGAACAAAGTGTAAATACAATTAAAATATTGCAAAAAAAATACTGTGCATCTCTGAAGTTTAAGATTTCTCCCACAGATTTCACTGCTCAAATACTAAACTTTATGATTACAAAAATCTTTCACATGTAGTTGAATTTTAACACCGAAAAAATTACTACGCATGACAACAACAATAACAATTACTTACGGCTGCTATGTGTAAATTAACATCATAAATTCAAATACCAAATACCCTTCCTAGTCTCATAACAAGCTAAGACATGAGATCTGCTACACCTTGACTGGTTAGTTGCGTCTCACAGTTAAGTTTCAGTATATTTTTATGCTGTAACCGTTCTTAAAAAATATAAAGGAGTATTTTATAAGAAGCCTTCTTCAAAAATGTTATGCTTTGAAATTTGAAAACAAAATCTGAATTTGTAAATAAGAAGCCAAATACCATCATACTGACCACAATCGCTCAACATTTCACAATTCATCATTTATTTTTCACCTATCCATTTCACAAACAAATTATAATTTAAAAAACTTCTGGAAACAAAAGGCCAAGGTGAAAGCATTGCTAATACGTTTAAACAGAAGCCAATCTTTGTGTCATGCTTTGATATTAAAACACTTCGACTGATTTGCACATACACTATTTAAAATTTTTTGTCCTGGGGTAATTGTCATTGGCAATTCTGACACGTAAGGCAGGAAGATGCACCGTATTGGAAAGCTCTAATCATATTTACTCTGGGGAGTATGTCACACATCTTCTAAACAGCTAGTCAGTAATTCGGCATGACAAAAAATGGCATTCAGGCCCCTAAAACTGACATTTTCCATTAAAAAAAAACCTTACAAGCCAACCTTTGCTTGATCCCCCCCTCCCCCCACATCTCACTAAATCTTAGATGACTTGCACCTCTCAGAACTGGCTGCATAATCCAAAACTCTCCCCCATCAGATGTCCTAAGAACAAATCTAAGCATTTTAAACGCACCCTCTCTCGTACAGCAATCTTGGCTATTCAACATTTTCACTGATAACTTCCTTGTCTTGGACTTGAATCTAGTTAGAGCACTGCACTGTTTCTATTTGCCTAACACGTTCTTTCAGTCCTCCTCTCATATTTTTTCAAAGTCACCCTTCACATTCTAAGAGAAATACACATCAGCATCATCCACTCAGATAAAAGATTGGGTAAACAGATGAGCTTTTTAATTGAGTCTCAAAGACAATGAAGCTCTGCTTCCGTCACACGATTAGGGATAATGAGTTCCAGAGCTGAGATGCATACATAAAAAATTCTCTGCCCCCAGCAGCCACACGTCTACCTGTAAAGTTAATTGCCTGTGCAACATGGAGCACTGACGCAATGGGATTTTTTTGTTACATGAGGCCATAAATATGAAAAACTAAGGAGCCAGTACCCATGCCTACAATGCAGAGGATGAAGAAAGTTAATAGCATGGATTCCATAGGCTTTTTAATTCTTGATACATAGGAAGAGTACAAGGCAGACAGCACTCCTCAAACTAGATGCACAGCTGTACTAGTTTTTCAATACACAAGAGCAGATTTAGGGCTAAATCTTTAGAAAGAAGCAGGTAAACCTGTTGCATGTACAGTGTTATTGTAGTTACCCCATTACATGCATGCCGACCTGGCTTTTTATCCACCCAGGCAGGTGTGCACACCTAAACTGACTGGAGGTTGCATAGTCATATTAGCAAAGTGAAATTAAGGATACAAAGAGTGGCCACCTAATAGCTATTAAACTTTGCAAACGTGCTCTTCCACAGAACTCTCAGCAACTTCAAATGAACTTTGTTTTTATGTGGTCTATGTGATTAAAGGCTCTTACAGACAGAAAACATGTTGTTACAACAGAGTATGCATGGTATGAACGCTTATACGTAAGACAGAGAAAGTGAACTGTGTTCCAGAACAGAATCCTTTAAAGAGCGTTACTACCTGTTGGACTGCTGAGATAAAAAATAAAAGAGCAACCAGTTCTTCAATTACTGAACAGGCAATAATGAACTTAGGTTAATATAAACATAGTATATTTAAGCTTAGTAAATGTGCATTAGCATAAAAATAAATGGCTTACAACCTAGGCCCTTTTCAAAATTTGACAGTATTTTTTTTTTATTTAGAAAAAAATCACCTTAACATTTGTAAAAATATCCTGAAAACACCTCTCTCAATCCTGTCCATATACGAAGTCAGTGAGCACAAAGTGAGGATGTAACTTCTCTTCCCCCCAACCTGTACCAGTCCCCACCAACCCCCCTTTGCCTCAAATTTTCCCAGAGCAGTTTTGAAACTGCATGGTCTCCCCCTCTTGACAGTGAAGGCTACAAAAAAGCATCTGAGAAAAACAGGTAGAGAGACCGCTTACTTCTCCCAGCATTCACACAGGAACAGAAATCCACATGCCTGCTACATAACATCCATAAGCAGGATGAGTTGTACAATGTTGTACAAGGCTAGAAGACCCAAGGGGGAGGGGTGTGCAACCTCCCCTCCCCACACCGATCATGTCACCGGTTGTGATCCATTTATACACTCAACAGTTATTTTACTGCAAATGGAGTGTTTACTAAATTACATTTCATTTACTTGCTCCATGGACCCATCATGACTGGACAGCTTTCAAATACCAGCATGGCTCTGCATTTTCCTTAGACAATATCACTGTGCACCAGTGCAGGGAGGGAAGCCCAGATAGGAAGAGTATGGCAGACCCTACAGCACCAAACTACTTCCTCTATTTGCCAGAAAGAAGACACAGCCAAATGGCTCGGCCTAGGGAGAGATCAGAATATTCACATCCGCTGCCCAGCACGCTAACTGTAAAATAACCTTTGATCACAGGTACATCCCAAGTGCATGTATCCTTAAAAGTTTATCCCAGAGATAATGCACTTGTCCTGTACAGGAAGTGCCAGTGCTTCTAATGAAACATTTTCTCAGGTGTGCCTGTACTTCGGCAGTCAAGGTTGAAAAGAAGCCTCAACATAACTAGTGCACAAGTGAAACGTTCTTTGTCACTGGTGCCCATACCTGGACCGTGTGCGTTTCCTACTGTTTCCAGGACTGTTACTAATGCGATAAGCAGTTGGGACACTCCTTTCCTCTCTTCGCCGTTCTGGGGAGTGGGCCCGTCTCCTGGGTGACCTTGACCGTGACCTGGGCAGAAAAAATATAAATGTAAGTTTTATTATTACTTTTTATTCCTGTTATTTGTTTCATTACTTTCATTTCAGTGGAAACCTGTTGTTACCAAACCCCACTATGGTGCCGTTACAACGCCTACTTGATTTTCATATTAACACATCACATTTCTAGTCTCTAAGACTTGCCAGTGTCGTGAGTTTGTCGCCCATTCAGGATAGATCGATTTGCTTTTAACTGCCAAAAAGAGAAGCAGTTTTCTTTGGTATCGTGTGCTAAGGGCAACGTTTGCATTAGCAGTTGAGGTGTGATCATAGTGCAAACAGTTACCTCTCATGGGAGACAGAGTTTGCCAGTGCTGCTATGCGCAAGTCCATTTTGGCTTAAAGCCTAGAATCTTCACGTCAGCCCTGACCTTGTCTTTCCAAATCAGCAGCGTTGTTGTGTTGCTGCATCATGGAGACATGCAATTTGTGTTCAATTTATCATTTCATTTTGAAATATGCACGTTTCCTCAGATACTGACAAGTCCAGGAAATTCTGTCCCTCGTGAAGCAGGGTTAATCCTAAATTTATCCAGCACTTTCACCGGTGCAAGTGACTAACAACCCATGACCAGCACCTGTTTGACACTAGCACTTTCAACTTGAAATGTCTGCCCTACAAAGAGAGAAAGAGAGAGCATGCCTAGTTAAGATCAGAGATCAACTGAAGAGCTCACTCGAATGTTAATGATTGTACAACTGTATGTAGAAATAAAACCTGAGCATTTTTAAGAAGAAATGCATGCAATATAAAAAAACTCCCGGGGGTGGGGAACCCCTTTTTGAACAAATACCTCAGCAGCAGTTAATTCTGTTGCCATTAAGATACAAAGGCCTAATCATTTTGCTTCAAAATTTTAATTTATTTACTTAAGATATTTTATTCCACGTACTTTGAGCATCCTTTTTCCTTCAGAAACACCCAATTCTTGCAATGAACAAGACTTCTGTAAATCATTCTGTTGAATCACACTTCATACGTATACACATACACACGCATCCATGCGCGCACATACATGAGCCATTTCTCGTAACCCTACTACAATAAAAGACCTACTGAAATGAGAATCAGTTAAGTACTGTATTGCAATTTAACTGTGCTTTTTCACTTAGAAATCTGATCTTTACCAGGCCTTTCAGAAGGATTATAAAAAAGAAAAAAAACAAAACAAAACAGATTATAAAAGTTTGGGGTCAGTCAGACACCTTGACATTTTACCAGGATTTCCCTCAAAAGAGCTCCAGCAGTCAAATCTTTTCGTTGTCGAAGCTGCCTGATAATTTTCTCGCTCTGTTGCTGCTGCCATTGATGAGCTGCTCAGACTCGGTTCCATGCTCAGTGTCCCTGTGGATGCTGTGAGTCTGTGATATGGAGGCACACACTTCACATTCAGAATAAAATGGGCTAGTTTTGGTATTAACTAGAATCCTGAAAAGGCTCAGTCCCTTAACCAAAAGCTGAACCTTAGTGAAAGCATGCTTATAGGGCCCAGCCTAAAAAAGAGTCCAAACAATCAGAAAGAAAAAGGCATTAGCTAATTTTTTATGAATTTAGTACGATTGTTTTGGTTCTAAAACATTTTCAAATCACTTAAACTTGAAGAGACTTAGCCATTAGTCTTTAACTGATTTGAAGTGCCTTAGCTGTCTCCTTGCAATACATGAAATCATTATTTTAACTAGATTGCATGAGATATTCCGAAAACACCGTACTCCTTTAAATAAAGTTAATAGCATTCATGTTGTTTAACAGACTCTTTAACGTTCCATATATTATAAAGCTTGGTGCATCAATTCACGTTACATTAAAGGAAGTGGAAGGATATGGATAGATACTGCCTTTACAATGAATTAATGGGTTTTGGAGTAACAGGAAACAGGTACTCTTACAAGCAAGGGATTGCTATTTTGAGGTCTTAGCCGATTTCCTGAAATTGAGACAGTAAAAATTATACCATTACCTATTCTATTCAGCTTAGTCTAAACTAACCCTTTAGTGAAGCGTCCTGCTCCTCATTACTACTCGTGCTCATTAACCGGATAAGCAGAGTAGGTGGTGAAGCAGTAATCTATTACTAAGGTATAGCAGGAAACTGATTAACACCAAACGAGGATTTTGAGTTTCCATTCTATTCAAGTTCAAAATATACATTTAAATTTGATCTGTCCAGATAAAAGAAGTCATTTGTTTTGTAACGAGTTGTTTTGCAGTCCCTTTTCTCCTCCCATGCACTCACTCTGAGCATTAGCCTAGATCCTGTGCTTCCAAGATCTATTTTACAGACATATAGATTTACTCTCATATTAATACAGTCATTATTTACATTTACTGGTCATCAACTGTGAAATTTGAAACTTCTCAGCCAGAACATCATGCGTAAAACTTCAATGACTGACATTACATGCTACTAAACAGAGCACCACTATCAGATACAATTTATGTCAAATTTGTTATGGTGCTTTGAAGTTTAGTGGGAAAAAAAGGCACCGATCAACTGTTGACAACAGTGCAAGAAGAGGGTTCCAGAATTTGTGCGCTTCCAAGGCAGAGCCAAAATTCACCCATATCTTTGTCTTAACACTTTAACCTGAGACTCTAAGGCAATACCTGCTTAGATTTAAAACCTCCATAGAAGGCAATGCTCTAACACTATTAAGGTAATTCTGTATGGTTTATGGCTTTCTGAGATTTTTGCTTGGCTCTAGATTCATCTTCTCCATCTGGAATCAAAACCTTTCTATATCAAGGGCTTTTGGGGACTGATTTAGGAATACACGTTTGAGAACGGTAACAAAAGGAACAAGGAATTATGCAGAGAACTCACTGTTAACACACCAAGGACAGTAATAAAATTGATATAGCTGGGTTCCCGCACATCCCTACAATTTTTATTCATTTCTGAGGAAAAGACAGCTTCAATCACACTTTCAAGCAACATAGCTAAATATACTCTGCCTGTTCTGAAATTGATAGTATTTGAACAGAACAAATTATACAGCTCAACCTGTAATGTACCTAAATACATTACAAAGTGAATTTCTTAAAAATTAAGCCTTATTAAAATGGTGCACCATGTAAATATACAAAGCTGTGCCTATAAAATGCTATGTGTAACAAAAATATACTGCACTCTCATTTATACCAACCTACTCTTTGCAATTACAATCTGCTGCACTTCTAAAATAGAACTTCACTTCTCACTTAGATTTTAAAACCTACACGATTCTTCAAAATCAACGATTTGTCAGACAAATTTGTGCCTTGCACAAAAAACAACCAAACCAAAAATCTTAAGAACTTTTCAGAGCATCTTAAACTTGCACGCAACCTTACTCCCCTCATTTGACCCTAAACTACAGTTCTTACACTGTACAAAATTACCCTTCGAGGAACTGTTATACCCAATGTACTTTTACAGTTATAGTCAATATCTACCAAGAGCGCATAATTCACACATCAAATGGAAACTCAAGTAATGCTCATTCAGAGATCCCTAAACATTTTGGATTCTACTACAAAAATGCAAGTTTTCCAAATGATATAGAACATGTGGCAGTAGGTCATTATTAGTTTTTACATTTCAGAAGGCATAACTCCTTAATGACCAATTACAACATATCCTAATCAGAAGTTTTGAAAGAAGTGCGGCTTCTCTTTTGGCTGTCACAATTAATTTAAAATACCACTAGTTTAAACAGCTTTAGGCCCTAGACACAAATCTCTACTGTGTAGATATATCAAGTCTAATGAGCTATTCAGTTAGAAAGCTGTGAAAGTTTGGTAATTGTGAAAAACAGCACACATTAGTGATACATAGTGGCTTAGTTAACAGAATCATTATTCATACTTTTTAAAGATGTTAAATCAGAAGTTTCTTTCTCCATAGTAACTATACTTCTAATCTGTTCCAAATGCCAACTAATTATTGATGACTGCTCAACAGGGAGGAGACCTGAAGGTTAGTTTTAAGTTAGCACAAAACAAAACAAGTTAACAAAAGTATAAAACACTCCTATTAAGTACTCACTTGAGACATGTACAAATAAAGCAGTTATTTAAGGTGGTGATATTAGACACTAGTACTGAATTATGTAAGCTCTAAGCAATACATGATGTCCTTTTCTTCATGTCACTGCACAAAGTTGAACATCACAAATTAAGCTTTACAAGTAGTTTAGAACATAATGCAAGAAGGAAACACTATACTTCTATTACATAAATATATCAGCAGCAGTATGCTTTGTTGCCATGTGCCGGTGAACAAGACAGAAGAAATATGTGCAGGGAGCCACACTTGCTCTGTGACAATGCAACACAATGCATTAAGCAGTACTAATGGAGAAGATCCTGACTGCCCCACCAAATCAACTGCACAGGTGTTTTATTTGCTTTTAGGTCTCAGACTGTAAGTTATTTCAAGTGAGAATTTTTTTTTCAGTTGACATTGATACTGAAACATTTCCTGATATTATTTTGGCATTGTAACAGTGTTTCCATAGACTGCAAGGAAACCATTTGGCCACAGACGTGACATTATAATATTGTCTACATTCTCCTAATAGCACATTCAGACCATCTTTATCGGCTTACACTGATATCGGTTTTCCACTGTAGAACTGCAGTCATACCACCTCTCAGCACAAGTAGTTAGCCTAAGCACTGCGCTGTGTGGATTTAGCTATACTACTGTGAATTCAAGTAATAGCAAGCAGAGCGACATGCTGTGTCTCAGCACAGCAAGTCAGAGGTCTAGGCATGGCTTTAGCTTTATTTCTAAAATCACTGGCTTCCCAATGCACTGGGATTGTCACATCTGTAACTATAAACATAATTATGGTCAAACTTGTTTCTCAACACTGCAAGTCATTCATGCAAGCCCACCAAGATGTAGTTATGCAAATCATTTAAGAGGAGGTTTATATAGAAGTACAAAAGAAAGATTTGTAGTAATTTTAAGAACATTTATTTTTTTCTAAACATTTTTAAATAAAGCAGCAATGCTGACAAATGATTCTTGTCTCCTCATGCATACTTTACAGCCTAATGCTTGGCAAAGACTGGAGGCAGAAGGGTATTTTTGGATGGGAGGGAAAGTTGTTTTATTTTTCAATGTACAAACTGTTAAATGCTCCACACAACTAGATATAGTATCACCCTCTGTGCAAATGAACAAGCCTGAAAAACAATGCACCTGGCCTAACATGACAAGAGAAGCAGCCAGTGCCCTGTTCACAGTTGTCTTGTGGAGACAGTTCAGAACACATCAACTTCTAATTTTAGATTTTCACTGCTTTTATATGCCAAAGCTGACTGCAAGTTTTGTATGTTTCCTCTTTATATTCATGTGTGGCTACACAAAACCACTGAGAATGGTGACAAAGTCATTCGCCTAATTATGCAGAGGTCTCCAAACAAGTGGTAAAGCCATGAGAATGAATCTGATGATCCCAGGAAGGTATTTGGGAGAGCTGATTTTTGGTGTTGGTTTTGGTACACACACCAGAAATCTTACTACCGTGAATTAAACTATACAAACTTTTGGTGAAGGGTATCGATTTTTGCAAACTTTTGCACATTAGTTCAGGTGCAGAATAACTTTCCCCTGGCATGAACTTTGAGAGCAGCCCTATGGAGCTGTAAGATAAAGTATCCACAGCTTGCAAAAGTCTCACTCATAGGCATCTAGCAAACTTTTCTGGAGAAAATCCATAGATACTTGAAGAAGGGTGGCAAAATTGCCCTGAATGTTTACTTTTCAAGAAAAAAAAAAAAGACTTTTTAAAGCAGTTGAAGGGATCAGAATGCAAGAACAAGCCTCCCTGTGTTATGTATTGTAAAGGCAATTTATCGACTGCCTCCAATTTTAAACATCTACCCTAAGATATATTCCTTTGCATGTATGAAATGCCACACACTACAAATTATATCTATGTTATATGTAGGCTTCGCCTGTACATGAAAAGAAGGTAACATTCCTCAAATGCAAGCGACAGGCAGAAATAATGACTGACCCTACAATAAGGGTGTTTTCCCCCCCTCGAGGTGTGTTCTTTACCTAGATTCAATTTTTGGTTCATACACAATCCACACAAACTACAATTATTACGGTCAGCAGCAGCTACTGGGGCCCCTGTCCCCTTCAGTGTCCCCTGTCCCCTCTCCCAAGGACACAAAGGGCAACAGAATGGCTCTGCCAACAGAGAATCCTATACGAGGTGTCATACCTGCACGCCAAACCTAGAGTCCAACCTGAAGGCCTATACCAGGACATGTTGATTGCTAAGTGAGAGATCTGAATTCTTTGTTACTGCTCCAATCTCTCAGGTATATGGCGTGTTACCTAAACAGGTAACTGAAAAGGCCATATCCTTAATACAACTAGGGGGATCTTCCTCGATAACTTCCAAAAATTGACTTCTATACTACCCATGACCCATCTGGATAACCTTCAAAGATTCAAGTTGCCCTTAGACAAATGCAAGAAAATGTGGAGGTGTTTCATCAAAAAAGACACTGCAATCAATACACCAAGGTCAGGAAACAATGCTGGGGGATGAACAGATTGATTTATGTGGATTTGAAGACTGCATGGGGCCAGAGCTTACAAGTTTTGTGCAAAGGGCAATCCCAGTTTTGTGAAAGTAAACTACAGACTGAATAATTGGAATCTTCCCTACTTTCCCAGCCAACACAATGCGGCTACTAGGAGAGGTGGCTTCCCCATCTCATCCCTTAAAGGAGGCAGACACTGCAAAAAGCTCAGCTGGGGGATACTATTGCCAGATGAAGTCTCTGCACTGACAGAAGACCAGACTGTGTAGGGGCTAGCAAAGAATCCACAGCAGCTGACACTGGTGCTAGGAGGGACGAAAGCTAGTTTCCACATACAGAATGAAAACCTTTTCCATTTAGTTCTATGGGTCTAGTTAAAAAAAAAAAGCCTCTCTGCAGGATGAAGCCTAACAGCTGCAAGGATGCTGGGGTCCTGGCAGACTAATGGGATCTCTCACCATTGTTCTTGGAGACTACCTAGAACAGGTAAAGTGATTAGGAACTGTACTAACAGACTTGCCAGGTGCAACTACCAGAATTACCTGGTCCAGTCTAGATCAGCTTTGTGTCCTGCCTAAGTTTCCACAGGACTTATCAGCACGTCAGGGACGGATGGAAGGATATGCATTCATCCCCGTGGCCTTGGAATGAGGAAGTCATCCGTCAGGGAGCCTACACTCATGCCACTTTCTGGAACACTTGTGGTTTGTTAAAAATTCACCTTTTAGGAGAATCCCCACTTGCAAAAGACGCTCCGAAGAACCAAGTCCTTAAGGCGGTACTCCTTGTTCAAAGAAA